TAGCTTGTTTTTATTGGGAGAGGAAGAAAGAGATGGGTCTTTCCCTTCGGAGCACTGAACACTGTTTATAGCAGTGCTCCAGGAGAACGTTAGAATTGGAGAAATTCATTTTGCCTCAGAATATAAACTTCTATAGTTCACATTCCCTTCTCTGTCATTTAGAAACCCAAAGTATCTGAGAGTGCCCAGATGTCTCAAACCTCATTCGGTGGCCAAATCTGAACTTGCACATTGCTCTTTATTTTTTTTCCATTGCTCTAATCACAGGTGTCAAAGCGGAAATAGTAGTTGGGTTACGAGGTGCTGCCCCAGACCTATGTGGGTTATTTAAATACGGCATATGCATTGATTTACCTTTCTAAATCCCCCAAATTCTGAATTCTGAAACTCATTTAGGCCGCAGAGCTGTGGTACGGGATTGTGAACCTGTATTCAACTTTCATTTGAGCAACCTCAGTAGGCTACTGACACAGACAGGCAGACAGATGCATAATGTGAATTGCAGGTGTTGAGGGCTCAGCTGTTCTATTACATCTCAACACGAACAGTTTAAAAACAGTCGACACTGACAGCCGAGGCATCTAGGCCCAAACTCCAGTTATTCTAGGATCCACTAGATTTGCTCTCAGGGAGTCATAAAGCGTTTTTTTAAATGTCCAGGTGTGGACAGAATTATTCATAATAGCCAAAAATGGAAACAACCCAAATACCCATCAACAGATTAATGGTTTTAAAAATGTAGTATAACTAGACAATGGAATCCTATATAATAAAAGGCTAATATGCAAATTGTCCCCCAGGAGTTCAACTGGGAATTCGACCAGTGGCGGGGCCAGCAGGCCTCGATTGGGGCAGGCTGGCTGGACCCCACCTGTGCATGAATTCATGCACCGGGCCTCTAGCATTATCTATAATAATAAATCTATAATAATAAAAGCATAATATGCTAATTAGATCAGACAGCCAAACGACCTTCCAGACATCCTTCTGGACGAAGCCGGGGCTGCAAGGGCCGAGCCCCTTGCACAAATTTCATGCATCGGGCCTCTAGTTCAGCCATAAAAAGGAATGAATGGTACCTGCCACAGTGTGAAAGACCTTGAAAATGCTGTGCTTAGTGAAAGAAGCCAGACATAAAAGGCTGCATATTGTTTGATTTCGTTTGTATGAAGTGGATGGCTCTCTGAACGGCCATACTTAGTTTATGTGCCTCGTAATTTTTTCTTGAAAAACTGGACATTTTGAATATTTTAATGTGTCACTCTCGGAGTAGATTCTCTATCCCCACCCCAGGGTTTGTTGCTGCTGCTCCGTATGGGTTGTAATGATTTATTTGTTTAGTGACTTTTCTAGACTTTTAAAATAAAGACTATATTCTTGGCCATGCGGGGTCAGTGATTTAACAGAGATTTCCTTAACTGCCCAGAATGAAACAGAAATTGCCCAGTCTTTGCAGCTGGGCTCTGTGGGAGTCGGGACACGCTTTCAAGACTCAGTGGGCAGTTTACAGCCTTCACCTTCACTTCCTGGTTGCACCGAACGAAGGTCAGCCAGAGGTGCGAGCTTAGAGCCTTTGGGGTCTTTTCTGAGTATGTGCCTACCCTGGGCACATGGCCTTCTAGGTTCCCTGAAATATGTAGAAGATTTTTAAATTTTTATTTTATTTTTTAATGAACTAAATTCTACAGTTTAAATTAGGGCTCACTCTTTGTGTTGTGTAGTTCTATGGGTTTTGGCGAATGTATCTGTCATTATAGTATCGTACAGAGTAATTTCACTCCTCTAACAATCCCTCCATGGTCCACCTGTT